CTCGTACGAACACCTATCTCGTGCGCGTAAAAAGTCTGCTGACCTTGAACTTTACCGCGGCGTACAAAGTCTGCCCGTGCGAACGCACGCTCAACCGTAACACAAAACAACACGATAAATGCAATGTCGTTCAAACTATTTGTTTTGTTTTCAGGTTAGGCGGTCTCTGAAATTACGTGGCCGACGTAAAGAAAAGGAAAAACTACCCTCCGGCATCACAGCCGACTACACCGCGTCTCTGTTCGCCCATCTCGAGCAAGATTCGAATTATTCCACCTATCCGATCATTTCAACCTCGGGCTCCAATTCCAATCTCAGTGATGAAAACAACCACCTCTCCCCCGGATACCCGACTCCGATTAATAATTGGAACAAAAAGGAAGGAGTATTGCAATCCGACAGTTCGGAGACTTCACTAAATTCCTTAAATAATCCGAATAATACCAACAGCAGTCCCCGACAGGCGCAGAATCTACCTCCGATACCACCGCGACCGCCGAAACGTGGAATCCTCAAAGGACCGCGTTTAAGCAATACTAGTTCTAATTCTCAGGAAAGCAGCGTTCATAATACCGACACGGTTGACTACATAAACGGTCAAGACACGAATGTTGTGGCACGAAATACGCAACAAAACGAAGTCATTTCTTATGGAATTCCGCCATCAAAGAGCACCTCGTCCAGTGATGATAATCAACAAATACAAAACTTTACCAAAAAAGTAATTCATAGTCCTATAGAAAATCAATATAAAAACTATAAAAACAATGCCAACAACCCATCAATTACAACCCAGGATGTTGATGAAGCACCAAAGACAAATGGCAACAACTATCTCGGCGTCACTTCGACGTCGCCGAGTGCCGATTCCTTAACAGATACTACCACAAATTCATCATTTGCTACACCACCATTTTCCACCTCGCCTGTTGGGGAATCTCAAGGCTTCCACAGATGGTCCAGGACTAGCACGTTCGATGATGTGTACCTACCGTTACCGCCATTAAAACCCTTGCAATTACCGAAGCCTAGAACGCTGATTATCCAAAGACAGAAAGCACCTCGTAATGATTTCGGATTCAGCCTTCGTAGGGCGATGGTCCAAGAGAGAGTGTTTATTGGTGACCTTAAAGAATTGACTGGTCACGAAGAGAACGGACTAGCTAATGGTGACAGTAAATGCAATGGCAATGTCATGATAGTATCCAAGTTGACGCATAAAGCTGTGATCCTTGCTGAACCTGGCTCGTACCCTGGCGCGAGTGAGACTGGGTTGCTGCCCGGAGATAGACTAATCGAAGTAAACGGTGTGAACGTAGAAGGAAAGAGCAGGGAAGAAGTGATTGACCTTATCAAGGGGAGCCAGGATTCTGTTACCATAAAGGTGAGTTTTACGTTTACGTTTTTATTTGATTTTTCATGTGTAAAATAACGTGGGTCTTGGAGATAGCACTGTTTATATTTTCTTTCGTTTTATCTTCCGAAAGTATTAATTCTAAATCGAGGAACGATGTTGAACTCTGTATAATCTAGTAGGAAGGGAATAAATATGATGCATTAAGTTTAATAGTTTGTCTCCCTAAACTACGTTTTAAACAAAGTGCAGTGCATTTGATGTTCTGTCATAAACACCTGACACTTTAAACGAGACCATTTCAGACAAAATGAGAGGATATTTTAGGATCATATTCTGTTATAGCATTTGCTTCAAGCATGTTTGGTTTACTTGTCTTTTGTTTGTTTTTGCTATACAATTGGCATGTGGCATGCAACAAAACATTGAAACTGCTTTGATTATTATCAGATTATACTGAAAACAAACCAAACATTATTTTTGTTTTATTATGTTGTAATTATTGACATAAATATGTACAATATAATGATAGAAAGGCCAAGAAATCCAAAATAGAATTTAGACAATTTAACGAATCTAATTAAATTAAATTTCTTAAATGTAACGCAAAAGAAGACAACATAACACATATTACGATTTTTTATTCAACTAAAAAAAAAACTTCAAGAACCACATATCAACTCAAACGTCGGTTGGTCAAACGCACTTTCTTTTTGTCCTTATTGAATTCAATGTATAATTCGATTTTCAAATTATTACCTCCATAAAAGGACCGATCAGTTTAATAGATCATTAGTTACATTTCTTGAACAGCGAAGCTTGTTGGTTTTAACAAGCAAAAGGATTGTACAGTTTCCGCTAAACGGGTTTTAGAATTATTTACTTTCTGTCTCGTTATTGTATTTAATTTACAATTTTAATGTTTTTATAATAATTTACCATTAAGACAAATTGTATACTTTTACTCACTTTATTACTATAAATCGCATTTGTAGAGATTAATCCTAATTAAATACATGTTAACGTAAATTTCAGTGTCAAATAACATGATATAGTTATTTTGTCTTGTCTGTCTAACCCTCTTTAGTGAATAACGAATAACATTTTGGGCCAGGTACAACCGATAGCTGAGCTATGCGAGTTGTCGCGTCGTCGCGCTGCTGATGGTGTTGACGTGGACCTTTCTGACAGTAATGTACGAGGTGGTACACTCAGCAGATCTGGCAGTCGCAGGTTTAATACCACCCAGGTAAGTTTATAATTAAAAATATGGTCTTAATTTGAATTGGCCTATTCATCACTCATAATGAAGCAGATACGATACGGTAAATTTTGGATCACAAAATGCTAGGCTACGTAAAAAGTTTAAAAAATATATGTTTCTAATTTATACTTATAAAGGTGATTATAAAAACAAAATGGTTTTCGGAAACTGGAATAGTTGCCAATTTTTGCATAGAATAAGTACGATGAAGTGCAAGGTTTTTGGCAGCGTGCTTAAACTTTAATATACTTGGCCTTTTTTCAATTTAATAAGAAAGAGTTATTTTATAGAACAGTACATACATATAAAAATGTAATATAGACACAAAAAACTTAACAAACTACTTCGTCAGACTGACAAGTATAAAAAAGAAAACAAGCTTAATTTCAATGAAGGTTTAATTTGCGATTACATAATGCTATTACTCTATTACTTTAGCAAATTACATTTCAGAATCGATTAAATCAGACAATAAAAACAGTTGCTACTATTTATCGATTATAAAATCGATTTGGTAGTGTTGTCACAGTATCGTGCAACTTTTTACTCGACTTGGCGTCTCGATTGTTACCGCGTATTGCGAGATCATATCCACATAATCGTGATAAATCGATTACTGTGTTAAATTATTTTTGTTGCCTTCGTTTTTGTACGACACGTACCCTCAGCTACTTTTAGCTCCGAGTTCTGAATATTTAAAGTTAATTGGGTACTAAATAAATTTATATAAAGTATTTGGCCTTTGTAAAATAATGTTGGAAAAACTTTTAGTAAACCTTTTTGTATTCAAATGCAAGCGGATATTTAATTAAATAGTTACATTTACTTTTCTATAGTATATAAACATTTCTCTTAGCCTTGTCGTAAAATCAATTGTAAGTAAAAACCATGGTATATCGTACCCCGCACGCTGAACAATTACGGACCCCCAGCGCCGCCCCGAGCGATTTGACTCACACGCGCTGGCTAGATTAACTGATCTCCGTTGACCGACACAAACTTAATTGTGATTAAATGATTGTAAACTGTTTATCAACTGTCGTCACTATCCTATTTTCCCTGCCAAAACTTCGACTTCTAAACCAAGCGATTATTTTTAAGTAAAACGTCCAATTTAATTAATTTTCTAATTTAACTAGCTGTTGAACGTAGTGCGCGTGAAATTAAAAAAAAATGTTATTCACTGACAATGTAGCTTTTTAACGATGAAAGAATTTTTGAAATCCGCCCAGTAGTTTTTGAGTTATTTCAATACATACAAAATACAAATCTTTCCTCTTTATAATATTAGTAAAGATGTGTATTGAAAATGAAGAAACGTTTGTGTAATATTAATGTTATTGTGGCATATTCCACCGGTTAATGATATTTAGTCGTCTAGAAATAGAAGTAAATTTATTTAAAGAAAGATCTTTACCAGCCAATTTTCGTAGAATAATACTTTTACGTAGCTTAACAAATGGACTCTTACCTATTATCCAAGGACCTCGTTAGCTTTGACTCGAACAATTCTTAACTAGGCTGCGTACAATCCAGCCACTTGCAAGGGTTCAGCTTTAAAGTACACACTTTTGCAAAATAAACGTGTACCTACATAGTATGCGAAACGAGTACCGAGAGAAGAAAGATTGAAATTAAAGATTTTTAAGCGAATATGTATTGCAGTTTTTACGCGTGGAAGTGTCCGTGCGATCATACTGTAAGATCACTTCTAAGTCATTCTCTCATTCTCTTTAAAAAATTGTTTTCATAAATGTATTACATCAGTTGTAGTTCACTCTTATTTTATTTTATGGTAATTTTTACAACTAGATAACAATTTTATTATTTTAAACTACAACCAGTGCAGGGAAAAAATCTTTGCTACATTTTCACCTATTTAATTTCTCCTCTAAATCCTCAGAGAATCTGTGTAAGAAAATACTAAGGTTCCCGCCACGAAGGTAAAGGCGGGAACCTTGGAGGGTAAGGTTGCAGGTAGGGCGACGGAGCGTGATACCCTGTCTAGACGTTGCACCCTCCTGTAAATAAACTACCCCTTATAAGCTTCGGATGGGTCGTTAAACTTAATCGAAATATTATCAAGTAACGTTAATAGGAATATATCACCGCAATGTGATTTTTCAATTAAAATGCTTACTTTCTGACAGTTTCGTAAAAACACTGGGAAATAGAGAACGTTGAAAAATGATTTTATTTGTATTTGTTCTACGAAACAGTTTTTCCTAAGAGAAACCTGTCTAGTATTTCATGATTATTATTAATTCAAGTATGGTTCTTAACAAGAAATTTATTTATCCTATTAGAATTGCTATCTGTTTATAACTTTTCTAAAAAGTTGGTTGATCTATAAATGTTACTAGTAAGTAAAAAATTAAAATTAAAAATAAAAGTTTGAGGTTACGTTCGTAATGTAAAGTAAAATGTTTTTGTCCTCGTCATGTAGGTATACTCTATTCAAAAAGCGTCCGTATTTCTCTTAGCTACTCATTTCTTTGTCCTACGATGTTTTAAAACTCCATAGTTGCAAGGAAAAAACCCGCATTTTAACAAACATCTTTGTTTTCCTTTCTATTTGTGAGTGGGAATTTCACTATTAAAATAATACTTTTGCATCGAAAATAATCCTTCTAATATTATAAATGCTAAAACTGAAATGTACGGATGTTTGTACTAGGTATCAAAATGGCTTCACGGATCTCGCTGAAATAGAACATACAGGTTTATCAATTAAGTTTTCTTTTAATCCTGTGCGGACGGAGTCGCGGCCGACAGTTAGTATTTAATCAGTCTTGACAATTTTTAAACCTTACGAAAAAAGTATGTCAGCGCCATCTAGGTTCGATTAACAGACAGTGTCGTCCACTGTACTTATATCTCAAAGTATCAATTATAATTATAATTTTTTTGTTGTTAGTTAATTGTACTGTGTATTCACCAGAAATATTTTAATAAGAAAACAACACATTGAAATACCGTTTTATTTATTTGTCATTTACAATTATTATTCAATGTAAGTATAACTTGAATTTTTTTTTTTACAGAAAATATTTTTTTTTTTAATAAAACATGATACATTTATTTACAAAAAAACTGTACACAAGTTAACAATAATAAAAATTTAGTGACACTTAACAATATCTCATATTTTACAACCAGTTACAAATAAAGCTTATTCTTCAGCAATAGTATAACTGAAAAAACTTGTAGTTATAGGTTGTCTGATTATTCTAAAAATACTTTTAAAACCTTTGTATTTACAAAGTTATAATTGCTGTCCATTACAGAACCAATAAATTAATTTTTTATCTCTATTTTTTTACACTACACATTATTACCAATTTTATAATTAAAATTAAATGTATTACATGCAATGTTTCATAATATTTTATAGCAATATTTTATTATGATACTTTGATTTGAATTATTAAATAGTTTCTTGACTCTGTCTACTGTAATTATTTTAGCAATTGACAATAAAGGCCAATTTTTAATACACAAATCAATCATTTTACCTACTCTATCCTACTTCCGTAAGGTCAGCGTACAATACTAATAACTTTTAAAAAATAATCAGTACTTATAGTGATTAAAATATCACAAGTATTCAGTAAAATCTAAAAGTAACTATTTCACAGTTATTTATTTTGTAAGTTTTTATCAAAACTTTGCATTTCATATTTGGCTATAACATTACAAACTTCCATCTTCACTTTAGGAATTAAATTTGGTTGTAATTTTTTCACACTAGCTGCCATACTTCTGAAGAAAACATCAATTTCATTTGTATTTTCCTTAAGTACTTTTTCTATTAATTTATCAATAACTTGTGACCTCTGTTCAGGAGTCTTTGGTTCTTCTACATATCTTACATAGGTTTTTGGTCCATTAACTACCACCGGTTTTGGTAGTATTTTAACTGGAGGCACATTTCTAGGTACTGGTATATTTTTCTTTCTGCCCGCACCTCTTTTCACCTTCTTAGGTGGTTCCTCGGATATTTGATCCAACTTTGGCAATATTTTAATATAAGTATTTTGTTTCATCTGTGGTTCTTGTGGGTCATCCACCACTGTAACCTGGAATTTGGAAGCAAATATGTTAATATGGAAACAAAAAGGTATGGGATTAAAAAAAAGTGAAACTACTAGCGGTACAATATTTATATAATTCATTCAGACATTTTGAACCACCACAAATCAAGTCCTCAACATGTTATCTATAGTGAGGAAGAGGAAGTTTGACATGACCAGTCATTCAGTGAAAAATCTTTATCTCTTACATAAATATCCTATGAGATATGGAACTGTTCATCGGAGGAAAGTTTTCATTGTCAGTAATGTAAAGTGCCATGTTCCCTGACAAAATGGCCACAACTTGAAATTGTGAATAAAGTAATTGTTAAATTAAATAGTGTATATTAAATGATTCTCACTTACCTCACTAACTTCATAGTATTCTTGGTTATCGGTAATAACTTGTTCGGGGCCTACAATTGTTTCTATCAGCATTTCATCTTTTCCTTCTTCATCCATATTTACAGACACTTCTCCGATATCTGTCCCTTCAAATAAGAATTGGAGCTTCTCAAAGATGTTAACTTTAGTTTTATGCAGAGTACCCATTCGCTTGCTTCTCATGAAGCCATCACGTAGACCACGCCAGCGTTTCTTGCATTCTTCAACTGAAATTCCACATTATATGTTTAAGTAATTTGCAACTGATAAGATTCAATAAGTAAATAACTAGTGCACGATGAAAATATCCTTTACATCAGGTTATTTTTAAAATACTATAAGTACAGCTTTATTTATACTTATAGTAGTAGTATTTTTACTATAAGTAAAAATAAAGCTATTTTACTTACAACAAAATAAAAAAAACAGCGACAAAAATATTCATTTTATTACTTGTCCCGATTCAAATATTTATAAGTGTTTTAAACTCTATTATACCTGAAAAGTTTACATTTTCCTTCGATCCATAGTTGCAATGTAATATATGCTTAAAGTTGATTTATTCCTTTCATAAACATTGGATTTTCGCGCTAATCTTTCATGACTATGGTACGACTATGACTATTCGTTCATTTGCCGTAACCGTAATACGGTGCAGTTGTGTCATGCAGCACAAAGCGAACCAATCCACGTCACATACTTACTTACCTGGCTTCGATAAAGCTAAAGCTATTTCTTGCCATGTACATTCACGAGCCAAAATATTCTTCCTCGACGGATCAAAGTAATTATACAAACAAGTCTGCGGTTCCACTAATTTAACAAGTCTCTCGTCCTCTTCTGTGGTCCATCCTATGGCATTCAATGGCATTTTCTAGTTCTCGTTTTAGCTTGCGTCAAACGTCACAACAAAATGTCGGCCACCTACCACGATCGCGAATGGAAATAGCTGCGCTGCGCAGCACGACGTCACAACCTGTCAATGGCTGCCGTGCCGTCGTTGACTTGTTTGTGAATTGCGATTGCGTCGGCCGTATTTTTTTTTTAGAAATGTTTTTGAAATCAGTTTTTACTTTATTAAAATGATGAAAAAAATACAGTATATTGTTTTTAATGATATCTTTTAAATCAAGTTTAGTTGATACCGCTCACGCCATCTCTTGAGCAGTGTTGATAATTATTTACTTGTGAGATAAACAATGGCTGCTAAAACTTCCTTCATAGATGGCGCTGTGAATTTATAACTTATGTTTAAGGTTTATCGGGATACAATACTTATATTTGCATTAAATGACTTTGTACCTACTTAATTAATTTAATGTTTAATCACAAAAAGTTCTACTTCAAATATCACTGTAATCAGTAATCACTTATCATTTCTATACTTAGATGATGAAGGAAGTAAAGCTATCAATTATGGATTTTGTTTCGGTTGTTTATTAACTCGAATATTATACAAGAATATTGGGTGACATCAGGTTCCGCTTGTCTAATTGCATTCCTCAACAACTATAATAAACATTATAAACCCTAATTTTGACGCGTTGTAAAATTTATCTCAGACGCATTACGACCATAAGCCCTTGATGCCATGAACACAAAGTGAGCAAACATTTTTAAGAATTATGACACGGTTTTAAAAGCTTTTGATAAGCTGGAGTTTTTGAAGTACACAGTTCACAGACTAAACTAGACTTTTTTGATGTACGAGGGACGTAAACGTAGGTGATGGTTGACGGAGATAAATTTGCATAACCTTTTTACTTGTTTCTGTGTCTTATTAGATGTTTTCTTTTAGCTTTTCTACAGTTGTTATATGTATCAGTATGGAGAAGCTCGGAGTCTACCCAAATTAAGGGCTAGGCATTGTCAATTAGGGTATTTTCGTTTGTCTTTCGTAATGGGTTCGTTAGTGGTGCCAGTGCATTGATATCTATAAACCGATAGGTCATAACTTGAAAGTCACATCTTTTGTTTCTCAGTCTTAAAGCGAACAGTAAAGAAGAATTGAAAAGAGAAGATGAAGTGCAAGTGGTGTAATATAAAGTCTAGTACTGTGCGTGTAACACGTGATAATGTTTTTAATAATTGAACGGATTAGTACTTATTGTTAACAATTTAGCGACACATTGTTGTGCAATTATGAATATGCAATTATATCACGGCCGACCACATAATAAATATAAATCAACACATACGAGGCGCGCGGTTTGAACTCGTACGTAAGTTGTAATTACACAATTACACATGTGGGTAGTGGTTATTTATGCGTTCAGTTATTAACAGATCGCTTCAAAGTAGCGAGCTTTGTAATTTATTTTGATTACGCTGATTGTGAACTGTGCTCGAGCTGGTTTTAAGTATACGCATACTATTTATTTAATCTTGAAAAGACATAGTAAGTTCTGTAACTAAACTAATGCTAAAATGTAACGCTGTAAAACTATAGCTATAGTTTGGTAGCTGTTTTGAAAATCCAATATCGATTATCCACAAAGGGTTACTGGTCTTTTTATGATCACGACTGTTACTAGTTAATTTGCGATGTACAAGTTTTTAAATAGATTGAATAAGCACATTATGTGTTGATATGTTAATGTTACAGTGGGCAAAGATGTTTGCTTGAAAATACAATAAAAATACAAAATCCCTGTCCATCGTTCAGACTATGGCCGCGAGTTTACATGTTTATTATGTCACGTAATTTGAAGGAAATTAAATAATTCCAATTCGATGTATCGGATGTGATATTTTCGCTGCTGCAGTGATGCGTGGCGTAGGGGGGGTGATCGCTGAGCTGCGCTTCCGCAGTTATAACTGACTTCTGATATAACTATAACATGATATGTTATTACAACGCTCCCTTTCTACTTTCTTCTCTATTTTAAATAATACGGTTTTAATCTAAAGAGATGGGAAGATGTACGGCTTGCCATAAGGCATAATAACCTGTTTTCTTTTACATCCAACATTCTACCTGCATGTTATCGTGTAGCAACTTTAACCTACGTAACTATTGCTATTTAATAATTCAAATCAAATTTGGTTTTGTTATTCCTGGAATTTTTATATCATTTGCATTCTCTCAGACTCTATGAAACTCTTTGTTTAGTTTGCGGTTAAATGGAATTTTTATAAAGACAATAATTTCTATTCTTTTGAAATGATCTTAATTATTTTAAACACTAACTACGTTGTAATGTTAAATAATATTTGTGATTATTATGTGGAAACACAAAGAGTATAAGTATTGCGAAAATATCTCGAAAGTGAAAAATAGTTAATTCTTGTAAGTGAACTATTTGAAAATAACCCTGAGTTTACACTGAATAAACACAGTTACGAAACTATATTGCCGTCACAGTTTTTCAGGAGGACTGAGAAGGATAGCTATATGTTTGTCTAAAAGTATCGTTATTTTACTCCTTGCTTAATTTTGCCCTTAGGTTGATATATATGCTTTTATAGCAATTTTATGATAATTTTATAGCTTCGGTAATTGAAGCTAGTGTTGAGGAATTGCGATATAAATGAGCAATGACTTAAATACATTTCTGTCATCGTGTCACAATTCGCTGTATGAACTATATCAGTTGATGTTTATTTTAATTGATAAATTAATTAATTAATTGCCTTGAAGCAGTTGCGGCAAATTGACAGTCGTTTAAGTAAATTTTGCTACATGTCTGTATGTAGAAAAACATATATTGTGTGAAGCATTCATAGTTAGATGGAGACATGAATTTTTTTATGTTGCTATTGCGTACTATCCGTAGAATTCACTTTATGTAAAGAATTCTGTCTGTACACAGGATTTCGGTATGTATGTTAATTATGTATATGACTTTTATGTCACTCGGTGCACATTTGAAGGCCAAATGTTTGAATTACAACGTAGATCCAACTGGATGAGACCGCCACTGGTTACGCCTACATTAACTTCTACAGGAATATGCATACATACAGTGAGTTTCCACTGTAAGTATGAACATACATCTCCCTTCGTTGTCTTTGAAAAATAAATAGAGAAAATGTTCTCCAAATTTTAAAGACTTCGTGCTCTACATTCACTTTGAATTAAAAGACGCCAAAACATGTTTCTAAGTAAAAAACCCGAAATTGTGATTAGTATATTTAGTTAATAATTATAATATTTAGCGTACCTGTCACATAATTTGTATTAGGCGCGATTTGAGATTCCCTTGCAGATACGGTGAACGCGAATCGTGTTTTACCGCCATACAGTTTAATTCCGAACGGCGGGAACTGCGCACGCGCGTGTCGCTTGTTGCGTCGAGAATTCGAAACGAGTTTGAAAAAAGAACATTGTTTTGTGATTTAAATTTTGACATTTCATTTTCGTTATTTTTTAAATAGTGTTAGTGAAGTGAACTGGTTGGAAAAACGTGAGTTGTGGATGGGCGGTGCAAAAAAAATGACAACTTATTTAGTTGTTTACGATAATTCAATGTTCAAATTGAGCTCTGACAAGATCTAGAATGTACAAATTAAGGAGAAAATCTTTAATACGCCTGTAGGAAAAAAAATAAAATAAATGCTCTGCATTTTCTTTATCGATCGGTTATGAACATACCTACCTAATGTCTAAATTAGAAAATAAAAAACATATAGACGAATTGAGTACGTCCTTCTTTTGGGAAGTCGGTCAAAAATAGTTGAGCTCGTGTTTTTCCTACACTTCCTTAAGGATTCTGTCTCTAGATTGAAACAACTTAGATACTGTAACCATTAATACATTAATAGTACATTATGCGGGCATAATTTAAAGACGGATATTTAATTCTTAATCTGTTCAGAATAGTTTCTGTGTTTCATCTTTTTAACCAAGTTCACGGTATCAGACGTCTTTTACGTTGAGTTGAGGAAGACAAAGTCATGAAGCGCTGTTAATTGAATTTCGTGATTGTAACTCTATTTATCTTATTTCAATGCTTTGAAATACTCTATTTGTACAGTTACATCAAAGTATGGTTACGCGTTTGACAGCAAGATTAATTTTGTAACCAGCATGTTTGCTTCTTTATTACATAAGCGGACCGCTCAATCAACAGAGATTGTGATAAGGATTTTACTATATGTTGTTCGTACTCGACTTGATTTAGACTCTCACGACTGTATTGTATAAGGGTGTTTAGAAGTACACAAATCAGTTGAAGACATCTACTGTAAATCAGAAGCATTTTTCTCCAATAAGTGATTCAGAATTTTTTCACTGTCGAAGCATATTTGATCTCATTTTGTTTAAAGGGAATGAGGTTTCTCCAGTACGGCGATGAATCGAGGAAATCGTATCTGAAACCTAATAAAAATAAATTAGTTGGATAAGGAAGTCGAAGTATTCGCGTCTGGTCAATAGGGGAAACATGACACGATGAAGACCGTGTAAAGTTTCCCGGAAAGTGAATATAGGCTTTGTTTTAAGGTAGAAGATAAAGATATAATATAATTCACGCACTTAATCCAGCGGAGTAGGTAGGGACAATGAATTCCTAGTGGTGAGCTAAGATTGCACTCCCTACACCTCTCTCTCGTTTTTTACATATTTATTTCTGAAGTATGAAATCTACTAAATATAAATTTATTTGATTTTGCTGGTCATAATCTCATCCGGAATGTAAGCAACCCGATTACAGCATCCTTTGCAATAAAACTATGTCAGTTGTAATTCCCTATTTATGTGTAACTTATAAATAAACATTCAATCTTACCATGAAGAAGAGTAGACACGGATGTACTTACTAGTCTCTTTCATTAACATAAATTTCGATTTTGGTAATTTTGAAACTTTAATTAAGATGCACAATAATTTTGTACCGACAGCAAAACAAAACTCTTTTATGATGAGCATTGAGTGTAAGTCTATATAGCTAGATTTATTATGTTGTCCGTCTGCAACTAAAATAACCGCTGCACGAGCCGCGGCCGGCGGCTATGCCTTTTA